CCACAGCAAACATGATCTGATTTCTATCACCATAAATTAGTTTTGTTTTTTTCTTAAACTTCATGTTTAAGATGGAAATACACAATATGCACTTTTCTGTCTGGCTTCTGTCTGGCTTCTTCTCCAAATAATATTTTGAAATTCATTTTACTATTGCACATGTCCATAGTTCATTCTTTTTTTATTGCTAAAGAGAATAAATGTACCAAATTTTCTTTACCCACTTATCTGTCCATGGACATTTGAGTTGTTTCCCATTTATGAACAATTGTAAACAAAGCAGGCATAAACTGTCCCTTTTGCTTTCAGTGGGGTAGGCAGATACCCAGGAGAGGGATTGTGGATTATGGAGCTTCTGAATTTTTTAAAAAATTTTTAAAGATTTATTTATTTATTTATACAAGAACTGGGGTACAGGCCAGAGACATGGGAAGAAGAGAGAATTCACCAGAGACAGAGTGGGGAGCAGAACAGGCAGACTGACTGAAATACACTGCTGAGGGGAGCAGCAGGTGAGACAGGAGAAGTCAGCCGCGCCATGTGGGTATCTCCCCGGCGGGCGGGGATCGAAACTACACTGCAGAGGCTGCGGACAGCTTCACAGCACTGTGCTAAACTGCCTGCACCACCAGGGAGGCCCTTCTGAATTTTTAGAGTAAGAATGGTGTCCCAGCAGGACTGAATGTTAAGAAATCAAATGTAGAAGCATTCAGGAAAAGTCAGGTAGAGAGTTAAGAAAATCAGAAGGGACGATGACCTTGGTGACTGGGAGTCAGATAGACAGAACTTGGGAATGAGTGGAGGTGGGTGTCCAGCAGAAATAGAAGTTGTGATGGCTATTTATTGGGTAATTGCTCTCCCAGACATTCTCAGGTTCCGGGGAGTCTGAGAGCACAGTGATAGATGCATTCTTGTTTGTGGAAAATGTAAAGGTTTTGGTTTTGGACAACAAGATAGGTCACAGTCCCCAAAAGTCCATTTTCTAGCAAGTCCCAGAGTGCCTGGCAGGGAGTGTTAGTTGAAGGGATGAACTACGGAGAATCGTTTGATGCTTTGGAAGAAGAAAGGGCATTGGGGAGAGTGGGTGGGCTGAGGCAGAAGCTCACACACCAGAAATTAGCCCACTTGCTAGACTGGTTGATTAGATTAGTTACTAGTGTAATGAGGTGGAGAATTTTATTCATCAGAAATTCTCCTCCAGAATTGCTCCCAAGAAAATCAGTCAGAGCATGCCCCAGCCTCTCCCTCCCTCCCCGCCCACCCCCAGGGAGATGCGTGGAGCCTCCAGACATGTTTATTCCAAGAGGATGTTTCTGGGCACTGGAGACACAAGAAAGTTATTAGATTAGAATTTAGGAAATGTTACAGTGTTAACTTTGAACATCTTTAATCATCTATTTCTTATTATGCTTTTCTGCTTAATGACTATTTGTCTAATTTTTAAAAAAAGATTTATTTATTTATACAAGCACTGGATACAGTCAGAAGCGCGGGAGGGTGAGAGAATTCAACAGAGCCAGAGTGGAGAACAGAACAGGCAGAGTGACGAAGAAACACACTGCTGAGGGGAGCAGCGGGCAGCAGAAGAGGTCTGTTGCACCATGTGGGACCTTTGCCAGTGGCCGAGGATCGAACCAGGGCTGCAGAGGCTGCGGGGCAGCTTCGCAGCCCAGCGCTCAACCGCTGCGCCACCAGGGGAGGCCCTATTTGACTAATTTACAGAAACTTTTATTCATGTTCAGTAGTTATAACCATTTTCTAGCCTGTTCTTTTTTTTTTTTAAAGATTTATTTATTTATGCATACAAGAGCTGGGGTACAGGCCAGAGATGTGGGTGGGGGGGTGAGAGGATTTACCAGAGACAGAGCGGGCAACAGAACAGACAGACAGACCAACCAAAACACACTGCTGAGGGGAGCAGCGGGCGAGGCAGGAGAGGTCCCGCTGTCCCACGTGGGCTGCTCCCTGGCTGGCAGGCGATCGAACTCGTGCTGCAAAGGCTGCGGCTTGCCTTATAGTGCATTGCTCCACCCCTTGCACCACCAGGGAGGCCCTCTAGCCTGTTCTTATAAAACTTCAATCTCTAATTTGATTTGAAATCATCTCCTTCCCTTTCCTAAGCAGAGGGTAGAATGATATGGGTGAAGGTGGGGGAGATTGAGTTCCTGATTCTCTGCCACCTCCTCCTCCCTCTCCTTTGAGATGCTAGTTCTGCATGCATATTTGTGGGCAGAGAAAAGGGAAGAGTGAAAAGGGGGCGATGTCTCCTTTACTGGACCAGTCTCCAGTCCTCCATTTGGTTGGCTGTACCTGCTGCTCCTGCTCACTGTCTTGGGTTTGGGGTCGACAGATAATAGCTTCCATGTGACCCACTGGCAAGGAGCTGGTGCACAGGCAGCCAGCTCACCTGCTGTGTCCCTCACCACAGGCAGCCTCATCTACCGGCTAACTCTGAGCTGGGGTCTCAAGCTGCATTTCTCTAATATGTGCACCTTCTTGCCCTCTATGCCGCCACAGAGCCAAGAAAACTGGAGCTCCTGGGATCATCTACAATTTGTGGCAAACTCTCGATCCCTAGCTAAGTGAGGGATCCAACGTTTACATTCATCGAGGAACACAGCCAACTTTCATCAATTCTTTTTTTCCTTTGTTTGGGAATTATAGGGGCAACTCTGCTAGCTTAGTCAGTAAACTAAAGAATGAAATGCCAGTCTCACCTTCCTCTAACCACCCTCGTGTTCATGAGATTCTATTGTGGCCCCTTTTTCTTTTTGCTTTGAGTAAGGAAAACAGTTCTCCTTCTCCCATTGCTGCAGGAAGACGTCCCTAAATCTCTCTTTCTGATGCTGTGATTCATTCCCTGTTATCTCTGCTGGGAGGTGGCAACTCCACAAAGGTGCAGTCCTGCGTTCTTAAGGAAATTCCCATTGGCCATCCTGTAGAAATGAATCAGTCACCAAAATACCCAATAAACACTCATGTTTATGTCAAACAATAATATATCTTTGTACAATTTTAAATAATAAAATTTTTGTAAAATTCTATTTGTTGGGGGCTCAGGACAGGCTGTCCCAAAATGTGCTAAAATGGCGTATTTATTGTTTTGAATTAAAGCTCTTGAGAAACAACCAATGAAAGATACTCTAAACCTCCCTGTCTCCTAAAAACAGGAAATAAATCTCTCATATGCAGGGTGCCCTCCGTACCAGGCAGGAAGGAGACATCTTATCACCAGGGTTTTCAGGGCCTGTTTCTGCTGTGTAAATAAACTGCAAAATTCCTCTCTAAATTAGGGTCTGCACTAAAAATTATTTATGCTATCAATTCCTTTCAGATTTATTGCTTCTTTATCTGAAAAAGTATTTAAGCTAAGTAGAAGTTGGTCATTTTTCCAGATTCCATATTCATCAGCTTGCATGGTCATGAAATCAAACTGATTTTTTTCTCCTGTTAATCTGTCTTTTGCTGATTTAATTATTTTCCATTTCTAAAAACCTGGAAAAGGGAATTTTTTTTTTTTTTTTTTGCTCTGGAGTAAATATCTGTGATTTCTTCTTGATGAGGCCAAGCTGTTAGGTATATTCCAGAAGGGGAAAAAGGAGGCAAAGCAGTGAATTAAATACCTATTATTTTATCATGCAAGTAATCTTGATTATTACTAGCATGCATGCCCATGTGTGTGTGCACACACACACACCCCTCCCTCCTAACTCAGGAGTGAGGGGAGATGTTTCTCCTGAAATACTCCTCATTATTGTCATTCTTTTGTAACACATGGCACAATTATTAGTAGAGAACTGGGGAAACAAATCAAGATGAGAAAGAGGAAATCACGTGGAATTTCTAATAAGCAATACTTTGCCGTTACTTTTTATAAGAAAAACAGTGCTTTGAATTATTTGCTTTAAATTTGAATTCAAAACTATCATGTACTACTTACTATTAAAATAGTACAGTAATTTGTTGGCTTTTATTTTTATAACATTTGATTGTGATTTTATTTAATGTTTAAATATTAAACATTAAATCTCCATACAATTAAATCTAATAATTGAGTCTATTAATAAAAGAGGAATTGGTGAAAAGGAGAATAAATTTGGGGCGATTATTTTTCCTTTTAAGATTCTTGTTTTTATTTGGACTGCTGTAACAAAACTACCGTAGACTGAGTGGCTTATAAACAACAAAAATTTATTTCTCACAGTTATACACATTGAAAGTCCAAGATCAAGGTGCTAGCAGATCCAGTGACTGGAGAGAGCCCACTTCCTGGACCATAGACCCAGCCATCTCACTGTGCCCTGACAACAACAAAAGGACAGGGTCTCTTATAAGCATCCTAATCTCATTCATGAGGACTCCACTCTCATGACCTTATCACCCCCACAGGCCTCCACCTCCCACACAGGGAATTAGAATTTCAACATGTGGATTTGGGGAAACACATTCAAACTATAATACATAGAAAATCTGGTTCTTCTTCCTCTTCCCTTCTTTTTTGTTTTGTTTTGTTTTCTTTTCTTTAAATAGTATGTATTCATTTCCTTCCCTTCCCTTGGGATGGCACTGCCAGTGGGGCTAGTGGGGCCTGCAGAGCAGGAGTGAAAGAAATAGTCAGTGATTCAGAAGTAGGTGAGGTTCACAGGGTCTGCAGAGTGGATGGGGTGGGGTCAGGAGCTTGCTGTCACACAAGGAAAATAAGCAGATAATTAAATATATAAACAGATAAAGGAGTTTTCTTTTCCACAAGTGAAGAAAGGGGTTATAAATACAGAAAGAATAAAAACTCAAATAGGCCCTGTAAGTGTTTAATTGAAATAGAAGTTATCGGTGTGAACTCATGACTTTTAATAGATGCACCCAGCTGTAGAAACAAATACAGACTTGTGTGTGTACATATGCACATATTTTACCTCTGTCCACTGAGGGGTCTTAGAAGCAAGCAATGAGGATGCGTAGTGCCCAGATCTTGGTTTCTAAATGCCATTCTCTACTCATAGGAATCAGGGCTCTTTGGAGCAAAGACTGAAACAGATGAAGTATGAAGTGTACTTGGAACGTCTTCTTACTGTAGAAAGTAAAAATGTCTTGCCAAGTAAAGAAGATCTGTCAAAAATCACACAGGAACTAGTTTGAAGGGGGCTCCCACTGGTCAAGTATGGGGCAATTTGAATCTCAAAATAAATACTGATGTCATGGATAATGATCCATTGAACAAAATGGCAATTCATGCATCTTATCCATAGGAATCAATCAATCAATCAATAAGAAAGAAGAGATAGTATTTCCTCTTGAAGGGCACAACAATGAATGCATAGGTAATGATGAAATTAGAAAAATCAAAATTTGTTTGCTATTGTAGGAATATATCATTCAAGAACCATCAAAGGATGATAAAATATTCTGAGAGTTTGTTCAGGAACATGATATCAATATGATTTCAAGATAGCTCCCCACAAGATGCTTATTAATTATTAATGGAAAAAATCAATAATTTTATAAGGGAGAAAATTGGAGAATAGCACTTTATCCAGAGTGATGAATGTGAATATGACCATCGATGGAACACTGATATCAAGTCTTCCTACCTTGATGTACTAGGAAGACACAGCAGCAGTTTGGAGACATGACTGTCCAAAATGCATCACCTGAATCCAATTAATCAAACTCACACTGAGGGCATTCTACAACCCAGCTATCCATCAACTTAAAGAATATCAAGATCACAAAAGACAAGAAAAAACTCAGAAAGTGCCCCAGAAGTAGGAGACTGAAAGAGATAATACAGAAAGATATGACAACTAAATGCATTATGCTATGCTGGATTGGAAAATGGACCATAAAGGATTTTTTTTCCTGCTGTAAAGACTTTTATTGGGACAATTGTTCAAATTTAAATGAGATCCTAGTATTAGGAAGCAATAATATATCAATATTAAATTCCTGATTTTGATGGTCATTTTGTGATTAGGTAGGAAAGTAACCTTGTCTTTTAGAAAATACACAATGTAATGTTTAGAAGTTTTCAACTTATCTTCAGTTGATTTAATGGAAAGAAAGAAAGTACAGACAATAATCAGGACAAGAATGACAAAGCAATGGTGATAATAATGCTAACAATTAAAAGTCTAGGTAAAGTGTATCTAGGGTGTACTCTTTAACCATCATTTCTCTGAGCTTAAAATTAATTCAAATAAAAAGCTTAAAATAATAATAGGAATCACTGCAGTTCATATTTTACTTTCATTCTTTTTTTTTTTTTTTTTTTTTTTTTTTATAGAGGCATGTTTTTATTTATTTATTATTTGTTTGTTTGTTTTGTTTATACATGCACTGGGTACAGTCAGAAGCGCGGGAGGGTGAGAGAATTCACCAGAGCCAGAGCGGGGAGCAGAGCAGGCAGAAGGACTGAAGTACACTGCTGAGGGGAGCAGCGGGCGGCAGGAGAGGTCTGCGCGCCATGTGGGACCCTCCTCCGGTGGCCGGGGAGCAGCCGGGGATTGAACCGGCGCTGCAGAGGCTGCGGGCAGCTTCGCAACCCAGCGCTCAACCGCTGCGCCACCGGGGAGGCCCTACTTTCATTCTTTGAGGGCAGAAACTTTGCATTCTGCACCTGCTTTCACTAATCTGGCCCATTTCCAGGCACACAAGTGGAAACCAGTGAATATTTATTTGAATAATTAGTGATTATACTTGTTTCATCTTTCTTACTAAATTGTAAGCTACTAGAGGGTTTGAGCTGTGTCTTGTTTCTCTGAATTCTCCTAAGACCCAGCTCCATGTCCTGAGTATAATGACACCATTGGTTATTTGCAGACTGAATGGAATTATGTGGCCACTCAAATGTTATGATAATGATTAGGTTCTGACAAAGATCCTCTTTATGGGCCTGTGAAAACAACCACAATACTTGAAACTAAAATTCCCCTCCTGGGCGTATGAAAGCCGGGGTTCAGGTTAAGCAGTCCTTTGTGAGATGCGTTCTGTTGCAGCAGCGCCCGCTCTCCACCGTCACCTTTGGCAGACAATCTTCCTCGTGGTCTGCGGTCATTACCCTAATGAAGTGCAGCTGGGGTTTTGAACAGTGCATTTACACTCAAGTGGCAGCCACCCTTAAAAGAACAGTACCCTCACGCACTAGCACAGCTCTCCCAGGCCAGAAATTGGCCTCGTGGTTTCACGTCTGGATGGGATGCAGACCCACAGGGAGCCAGAAAATGGCAGCTGCAAAGCATGCTATTGATAGAGAAAATTTCAGCTTAAAGTTAAGTGGAAACCCTGCCCAGAGCGAGAAGCAAAACTTGCCAGGTAAAAATTACCACTGTGTTTCTTTTCTTCTTTCTTTTTTTAAAAACTGTTTGTGAAAGAATCTGACATAGAGTTCACCTCTGGATAGGATAGCTGTCCTGTTTGTTCTGCCCTGATTAGGCAGAAGGTGAGCTGGGAGTCAGTCTTCTGGGCTGCAAAGACAGGGTGGCTCCCAGCAAGCAACAGATCCCCAGAAGGAAACCTCTAGGTGACCTGAATTTCTAAGTCTTTCTCTCTGATGAAAAAACAAACATGTTTTGTCTATGTAAGCCTGCATAACTCACATCTGACACAGAAATGAACATTTCCTAAGAGGACAGAAAAAATAGTAGCTGGTAATAACCCACATCACTGAGAGTTTACTTCCTGACAAACACTACTCTAAGGACTTGACATGATTTACTCATTTAATCCCCCCAGTTGCCCTTTGGGTAGGTATTGTCTAGGCGAGCAACTGGACCAGCACAATAGAGGTAATATGTGGTGAGGTCACAATTCCAAAAAGTCAGCTATTTAAATACTAGACTTTTCAAAGTTGAGTTTACCAAGGAAATCTTGGATTGACACTGAAATACAGAGCTGATATTACACTACGTGAATTAAACCTTTTCTTAGTCACACAAGCACACGTGCTGTGAACAGCAAATATAACCAAGCAGCATTAATGATTAGCCATAGTAGGAAGCAGGTGATACAGGAATGTCTGAAACGCTTATTTTGGTTGGTAGGGACACTTGCAAGGATCAGAAAACAGTGCAAAAAGTATAAAACGTTGAAGTGCTGGTTTGAAGGGTTAAAAGTTTCCTAGTTAACCCAGCTGGAATCATGTGCACAATTGCCAGCACACAGCATGGGCAGAGTAAAAGCTAGTGGCTGTTCTGTCAGCGGACCACAGCAAGACCAACCAGGCCTCACTGTGTGTAGAAGTGCACATGGCACACGGGCAAACATTTGGCTCATGGACTAAGGGTACTAGGACCCATTATCAGGTATGATGAGGCCTGGCAGAAGGACTGACACCCAGTTGAAGAGAATAGGGGGGCATTTTAGAGGTACACACACACACACACACACACACACACAAGGGAAATGGCATTTCCAGTCAAGGTAAAAGAGTCACACACTGAGTCAGGGTGGAAAGCCCCAGAGTGCAATGCTTCGGTGGTAGTAACTCTGCTTCATTATATAAAGTTTTCTGCTCTGTCAATCATTACATATACCAGTGAGGAAAGCAAAACATACTCATTTTTATGAATCAAGCAATCATTAGCTTCTATGAAACATCTTTTTATAACCAGACTATGGGAGTAAACTGTTCAGAAAAGGCCAATTATGCAAATAAAAAATGACAATGGGAAGGCGGAGAATCCATGAGGTCAGGTTCTGGGGTGCACTGCCCTGCTAACTGGGTTCAGCCATGGCTCCAGAAACCATCCCACAACTGTCTAGACAGTCTTTTTTTTTTTTTTTTTTTAAAGATTTATTTATTTATTTGTACAAGCACTGTGTACAGTCAGAAGTGTGGGAGGGTGAGAGAATTCACCAGAGCCAGAGCGCGGAGCAGAACAGACAGACTGATGAAATACACTGCTGAGGGGAGCAGCGGGCACAGCAGGAGAGGTCTGCACACCCTGGGAGACCCACACTGGTGGCCGGGGATTGAACCAGCATTGCAGAGGCTGTGGGCAGCTTCACAGCCCAGCCCTCAACCGCTGCGCCACCAGGGGAGGCCCTGGCTAGACAGTCTTACAGATCAGAACAAGAAGATCATTACTGATGTAGCATTTAAGGAGTCTTCACAAAAACATTTTTGTTTACTGCCATTACAACAATGGTAGTAAAGAACCTTTAACACTATCTACCCACTGTGTTACACTTGTATCACAATCGCTTGGATTGTTGCCTGATCAAATGTGTTTAGTTTAGGGTTATTCAGCTTGGAATATATGAGGTGGAAAGTAGGGAGAAAGTTTCAATGAAACAGAGTTTTTTTTTTTTAAATAATAGAATCCTAAATAAGATTATGAGATATATATTACCTGGAGGAATATATATTAGCCTGAGGAACCTAATTATTATCTGAAAATACATAAATAGTTTACTAATTATAGAGGGTGAAAATGATCTATATTAAAGGGAGACAAATTGCACTATGGGAACTCAGCAATTTCCAGATTGTAAGAATCCTTTAGCTGTGCAATGGGTTACTTAGGCATTCTGATGATACTCTGGGCAGGGGGGCTGGTGGGGGGTTGGAGGGAGGTAGGGGAGGATTAAGCACTTTGATAGGACTCAATCTATCTGCCTGGGTTAGGTGAACTCACTATTTCTCACACTGATATCTGAAGGGTCTAATAATTCTAGAACTTTAAGATTTATGTTTTCATTTTAATAATCACCTAAGAATTATTTTGTGCCAGCTGAACTTGACCCGTTTAGGAAACAATGATTGGAATGCCTCACTTTTCCTCTTTGGCCTTCCATATATTATTTCAGTACAAACTTTTCTTAGATTAGCCAGTTACCATATAATGGTAAGACAACAGAGCATATATTCAGCGCTACCTTTTGCTAAAGATGTAATCAAATGTTAAAATATTGGGAACATATTTATGTCCATGACTGGGCCATATGATACAGTGGCATTAGTCACTAAAAATTTTAGGAGCAGGGTCCATTAAAGAGAAAATCACAATTCTCCAAAGGCATTATTTCATACCCTCAGATACTTTCTTTTAAAAAAAAAAAGAAGACATTTTTATATTATTTTATTTTGACATATTTTATATATTTATTCTCCATAGATAGGAAGGAAAAAAAGTTGGTTTGAAAGAAAAAAATTATACACACATGCAAAATCTTAAGTAGTTAAAGAGTTAAGGAGTTTGATTTACTGTTTGTTTACCTTATATATTATTGCCTTCACATAATGATGAGCATGTATTTATCTATAACCCACTAATTTGCTTCCACTTTGCCCATGATGTCTCACTACTTTTCGGCATCTGATTGGGAGAGGCTGACCAGAATTTTAAGAGATGCAGTGGAGCAGGGCAAAGGGCTTCATGCTCTGGGGACCTTGTTCATTATAAGGGTGCTCCGCTTGTGTAAGTGTCCCAGACAACAAATGTGTTGTGAACCCCAACAAAGTCATTCAAGTACAAGTTCATTAAAAGGCAACTGATAAGAATGAGCTTTTTAAAATCCTCACCACTTCTGAAATATAAGTGGTTAGGATATGCATTCCTATTTAAATAATGAACATTTTCCCTTTTTTGTCTCTCTTAAGCCTACTTATTTGGTTCCCACTGCTTCCCCAAATATAATGCCATGACATACTAATTTAGAGGTATGCCACATGATATCATTTATAAAAAACATTGCAAGTTAGCAATATGCCTTTTTTTTTTTTAAAGATTTATTTATTTTTGCAGGCATTGAGTACAGTCAGAAGTGTGGGATGGTGAGTGAATTCACCAGAGCCAGAGCGGGGAACAGAACAGGCAGAGGGACGAAGTACACTGCTGAGGGGAGCAGCGGGCATGGCAGGAGAGGTCTGCGTGCCCTGTGGGACAATCGCTGGTGGCCGGGCATAGAACCGGCGCGGCAGTGGCTGTGGGCAGCTTTGCAGCCAGCGCTCATCTGCTGAGCCACCAGGGTAGGCCCAGCAATAGGTCTTTTAAAGGAAAACAAAAAGTTTCTTCACTCATTGTGACTATTCAGGGTTGTTTAAAATGCTAGAGGTTTGAAAGCATTCCCATTTCATTTTCCTAATAAATGGAGAACAGAATGATTACAAAATACAGTTCTGAAGTCTGGAATTGTTTTGTATGTTGTAGACGTTACCTAATCC